CAACGACAGTTCTCGCTTGATGAAACCTGGCCCGAAGGCCTGCCGATGAACGAAATGACATGCAGCATGCACAAGACAAGGGGCAAATCCATGACCATCATGTCGTACTGCCCCTCAGTTCCAACCCATCCTGAAGTTCGCACAGAGCTATTCTCTTGTCCAAGTTGTTCTGCATAGAAATCTTAGACGCGACTAAACTTGAAGCTTCGGGTGAGGCGAAAATAGGCGAAAGGCGGAGACCAGATACCTTAACATTCTGGCCCAAAACAGCCGAGGTGCTGATGAGAGGCCACTGAGGATCCTGGGGACAGGATCGACTGGGCGTGAGGTGGAGAGGATCGAAGGAGTCCATTCAGCAAGAATTCAATCATTCGAGAGCATTTGGGGCAAGCAGAATTTGCTACCAGCGAGCCTCACGGCTGTGCAAACCGAGAGATGTGTAGAACTTCGCCTCTTCCAACCTGGGCACAGTTCCCAAGCAAGTGGTCTCACCCAAGTAATGGAAATGATCCGGTTGCTGATCACGTTGAGCATACTTGTCCCCCTAGAACAAATGCGGTCACACCAAAGGTTTCGTTCGCGGTTGCCTCCTCAAAAGCTCAGAACACACCTCTTCCCTGCGAACAACTGGAGTGAATTCACATTCCATGCAAAAGGGCCCCAGACTCTGACGATTTCCGCTTGTGGCGGCAGATCTGCTGAGGCTCAGGCAGCTTTGCACCCTTCTCTGAATGGTGCCATTCCTCGGCTAAGGCATTGCGCTCTATGCAGGCCAAGGGTAAGCTGCCGAGGCCAATACGACTTTGATGGCCACGTTGTCACCTGATGTGCTTTGGGACTTCCATGCCCACAGGCAGCCACCGACCAGATCCGAGAGGTTGGGACGTTGCGATGCAATTCTGGCATCGGAGCTTGTCGGAGCCCTTGTGAAGTTCTGATTCTTACAGCCTTATTCCTGGATGCACATGTGCTTCTACATCTTGTAAAACCACGGGCTGTGCCAAAACTTGCCTCCCCTGTCCGTGTCTTCAGCCACAACAAGGTTGGGTCAATCTGAGCTCAACGCCCGATTCGTCTTCCTTCCCCATGTAGACTTCCTTCTTTGTATTTTGTGGCTTTCTGCTTACATTTGTGAAACCAGATGGCATGACTGCTCTCCACGTCAAAATGATCCCAGCCACGCTGTAGGAACCAGAGCCAATCTCGCCCTGCAGCCGGAAGCGTCCCGCAACCTGAAGGGTCCCACTGCCATCTCGCTTTGTCTGTACACCGTGCTGGCTACATGAACAGCCATGGGCCAGTGACCGCCACACTTCGACGGCTCTCTAAGCTGCCCACGCCGGACTATCGGACACGCTGGCGAGACTAGATTCCGGAAAGCTCGACATCACCACATTCTTGCAAGCTGTGAATGTCCAAGCCGCAACTCTTGGCAGCGGAGGGGGATGGAGCGACGAAACCTCCGACGACTCCTGGCAATCAAGAACCCTGGGTGGCCGCCTTTCCACGTGCCTGTTGACGTATTGCTTGTCACGTCACCAAAAGACTACTACTCTTGGAGCGCAACGGGCAGGTAAACAGAAGCTGTCGCAAATGACCATGGAGGTGGCGTGAGATGCATGCTCCAATCTCTTCGGTCTTAGCCCGGTCCAGACCTCTGGATCATCTTCCGTCTCTTCTTCGTACTCTTCCTCTTCTCCTGCTCCACTGCAGAAATCTTCGAACTCGAAATACTGATCCGGGCATGGCGACTGCATCCCTGGGGTATGTCTAAGCAGCGAGTTGTGGAACATGAGACTGCAAAGCAGCTGCAATCCCCAGCCCAGTCAAAGCCTTCTCGATGCCTCGTTAGTGTAGCATTGTAGCACTCACTCTTGCGTTCGTTTATCTCGCCACGGTACAGTCGGAATCTGGACCTGGGGAGCTTGAATGATGCTGATGGAGATGATGGCAATGATGATGATGATGGTGATGATGATGCTGACGATAATGCTGACGATGATGCTGACGATGATGATGACTGATGGTGATGAATGATGATGACGATGATGCTGACGATGATGATGACTGATGGTGATGAATGATGATGGCGATGATGATGAAGATGACGATGACGATGACGATAACGATGACGATGACTGATGATGATGACTGTTGATGATGACTGATGATGATGATGATGATGATGAGGATGAGGGTGAGGATGAGGATGATGATGATGGCGATGATGACGGTGGTGGTGATAGTAATGATGGTTATGGTGATGATGATGATGATGATGATGACGACGACGATGACGATGATGACGACGATGATGATGATGGTGATGATGATGATGATGATGATGATGATGATGATGATGACAACGATGACGATGATGATTCCGATGATTACGACAATGCCTACTTACCTACTACAGTACATGCACCAAGTAGGTCCCGCAACGTTTTTGGAGCAATCCTGTGGCGGTGGTGTAGTAGCTGCTGGACTTCACCACCGATGCTGACATGGCAGTCATGAAAGGCGCGAAGTCGTGCTGCTGGTGCTTTGGGTTGCTGTTGCTGATGATGTTACTCCCTTCATGCCATGTGCTTCCTGCCAGAGTAGTTTGTCAAGGGAGTTTGCCTTATGCGCCTGAGCTCTGCACGGAAATGAGTCAGCAAATGCCATCGCAGCTTCAACACGCTTCAAGTCTCTCGCTGAATGCGGGTAGACAGGTCTGCCATAGTCTAGACAGGAGTAGATAGTACAGAACAACGAGCCCATGGGAAAATCACGGTCTACTCCAACCACGGCGTTTTGCTCACATCTGCGTGCTTGTGTGTCGGATGTGGTGGCCCAAATCCCTTGCGACTCATCGAAGTACTTCAAGCTTCCCTACGTGTCTGCTGAAGCCAAAGTGAAACTCGAGCAGGCGACGTGATCAATTGGACACAGGCTTCTTGGGACAAGTGGATTATCGTCAGGTCTCTTCTTCGTCCATCATATGGGCTGCCCATGTTGACATATGCCAATATGATCCAATATGCAACTGCCCCGGACAGTATGAGGGGGCGCAGGTCTTCGGCCGCACCTTAGCCTGCAATGACGTGGATGGCCTGGCTGAGGTCGAACCATGCTGGCCTCGGGGACGCGCAGAGTGCCTATCACAGAGGCTACAACGGCTTCTTCTACGATTCCCAGCATTTTGTGCTTCCAACCCCTCATGCCATCTTACGCCATGTGCAGTACTTGAGGAATGAGCAATGAATTCATGATCACCAAGAAGCTGAACCGAAACTGACTGGTCGGAATCGGTCGGAACTCTGAGGTCAAAGCACGCAGGTCGGCGCTGGGTTTGCGAAAACCCTGAGCCAAAGCAACGAGTGAATGCGGCACAGGGGCGGGAATTCTTCACAGGTGTCTTTGTTCTGCGAACAGAGAGTAGTTACGTGGGTGTGTGTGTGTGATGAAAGTATGTGTGTGCACCTTCATCCATGCAACTCCGATTTGCTAGAGACTAACTTGGGACTTTGTGACAATGCTCCGCAGTGTGGAAGCCAACAGCAACGTCGACCCCATGTAGCTAGACAAGATGATGTCAGGAGCTCCGTGCAGCTGGGCGGCATCTCTGAGGGTACAGTGATGTCCATGCTGGCTTGTCCACTTGGCCACGCATTGGCTGGCGTTGGGACCTCAGGGTGCTTAGAATCTTCTCACTTTCCGCACTGACCTCTCCAGTTTGGACCGATCTCAGCAGGATGCAAAAGACTAGTATGCTTTGACTCCTGGCTGTTCACAGCCGTTGACTGACTTCGATAGACACCAACTCCAGCCGGTTGGACAAAGATCAGACTGAAGGTCAATGGGTGCCGGCCTGCTTGCAAAACCATCCCTCGCCTAAAACTGAGCTATTGAGCTGCAGGCTGCCCAGCGCAGCATGGTCCCTTGCGGCGGAAAGCCGCCGAAGTCTGCGAACAGGGCTTGCACACGGCGTAAACATTTGTAAACTTATGGGATTGAGTCTGGATATTCTGGCCCTAAAGCTGTGATCCTTCCTGCATTTTCGGTGCATGCTCGTAAAACTTGCCGCCATCACTACAAGTATCGAGAGCAGCAAAAGAAGAAGTAGTAGTAGGAGCAGCAGCAGTTGTTGTTGTTGTAGCAGTACTAGCAGTACCGGTAGTAGTAGTAGTTGCAGTAGTAGTAGTAGTAGTAGTAGTAGTAGTAGTAGCAATAGTAGTAGTAGTAGTAGCAGCAATAGCAGCAGCGGCAGCAGGAGGAATAGTGGGAGCAGAAAGTAGGACTAGGAGTTCGGGCATCACTAGTAGCCATCGTCATAGTCATGACCGTAGTCGTAGCAGCAGCAACAACAACGATAACAATTGACAACGAGGGCAAAGATAAACAGCAACAACGACTGAGACGACGACGACGACGACGACGACGAGGACCAGGACAACCACAACAACAACAACCACCACAACCACGACAACAACAACAGCAATGATGATGATGATGATGGTGATGATGATGATTATGATGACAATGACAATGACAATGACAATGACGA